TGAATTCCCTTGGGACATTTAGATTGACATTCTTAATTGAGAATTCCCTTGGGACATTTAGATTGACATTCCGTGTTCCAACGAGATGGTTTTTATTATTTGAACTCAAATTAAATCAATTTCAATTCCATTCGGAGGTGTTAAGAAACATATATGGATTCCTCGGTAGGATAGTGGTGAGTACCCCCCCCCCCCTGTGGTGAGTATCCCCGCCTGTCACGCGGGAGACCGGGGTTCGATTCCCCGCCGGGGAGTTGGCCGTGTTCCAACGAGAGTTTTTTATTATTTGAACTAAAATTAAATCAATATAGTGGTGAGTATCCCCGCCTGTCACGCGGGAGACCGGGGTTCGATTCCCCGCCGGGGAGTTGGCCGTGTTCCAACGAGATGTTTTTTATTATTTGAACTCAAATTAAATCAATACAGGGAGGTGTTAAGAAAGATGTATGCATTCCTCGGTAGTATAGTGGTGAGTATCCCCGCCTGTCACGCGGGAGACCGGGGTTCGATTCCCCGCCGAGGGGTTGGCCGTGTTCCAACGAGATGTTTTTTATTATTTGAACTCAAATTAAATCAATCTTAAGTAATTCCACAGGGAGGTGTTAAGAAACATATATGCATTCCTCGGTAGTATAGTGGTGAGTGTCCCCGCCTGTCACGCGGGAGACCGGGGTTCGATTCCCCGCCGAGGGGTTGGCCGTGTTCCAACGAGATGTTTTTTATTATTTGAACTCAAATTAAATCAATCTTAAGTAATTCCACAGGGAGGTGTTAAGAAACATATATGCATTCCTCGGTAGTATAGTGGTGAGTATCCCCGCCTGTCACGCGGGAGACCGGGGTTCGATTCCCTGTCGGGGAGTTGTCCGTGTTCCAACGAGATGTTTTTTATTATTTGAACTAAAATTAAATCAATCTTAAGTAATTCCACAGGGAGGTGTTAAGAAACATATATGCATTCCTCGGTAGTATAGTGGTGAGTGTCCCCGCCTGTCACGCGGGAGACCGGGGTTCGATTCCCCGCCGAGGGGTTGGCCGTGTTCCAACGAGATGTTTTTTATTATTTGAACTCAAATTAAATCAATTTCAATTCCATTCGGAGGTGTTAATCAATCATTCTTTATTTAAGCACGGTAGAATCTTCAGCATATATTTACATTATTCAAAGAAAAGAAAACTTAACCTATACTTGTTATCTAATAAAAATCTAAGTCATATACTAACATATTTACAATTTATAGTTTACTGTTTTACAAGATTGCCGTGTGGGAGTCTACTGATCGTTTTTATAATAGTTTTGAATAGCTCTTTTAAAATTTCCAAGTGATTTTATAGTACGAATAGATTCGGGCAAATTATTCCATAGATGTGCTCCGCAATAGCTAAAGCTTCGTTTCATATAATCTGTGCGTGGACGTGGTACGTTGAGTTTACCACCAGCGTTTCTAATGTTATAATTCGTGTTGCGATCGGAAAAAAGATTGCGTAAATATTCAGGAGCCCTATTGTTCAATGTTTTGAACATTAGGATTGCTTTCTGTTTCTTCCAACGAGTGGAAACGTTGTCCCAGCCCAGCTCTCTCAAGAGACTGCTTGCACTGGTATAATAACTTGACTGCGTTACTATTCTTGCAGCTCGATTTTGTAATTTCTGAATTTTGTCAAGCAAAGTCACACCAAGGCCGTCCCAGACCGTGGAACAATAATCAATATGCGGCTCGGGATTATTGCTTTATATATTTTATCGGCGACATCTAATGTTATAAAAGGTCTTATACGCTTAAGGGCACCAATAGCTGAGGAAATCTTTTTCGATTTTTCCTCGACATGTTTGGACCAAGAGAGGTGTTGATCTATTGTCATGCCCAATGTTTCCGTTTCCTTTACTTTTTTAATCGGTTGGTCATTGATTGTAATGTTAATGTTTCCATCAGCATTAACATTCAATCGTTGGCGCGACCCAATTATCATAAATTCAGTTTTCGCAATATTAAGGCTGAGTCTATTAACTTTCAACCAAATATTGAGGTTTTGAAGTTCTCGATTTAACACATTTTCGAGTTCAGATAAAGTGGGTGATGCAAAACTTACGTTAGTGTCATCTGCAAACATTCTCGAAGAAGCCGTGCTGAGACAATTTGGTAGGTCGTTTATATATATAAGGAAGAGCAACGGACCAAGATTACTACCCTGAGGTACTCCACATGGAACGGATCGCGAATTCGACATGTATCCATTGACACAGCACATTTGTTTTCGATTATCAAGATACGATTGAAATCATTTAAGTGATTCTTTTTCAATACCATAAAATTGAAGTTTTTGTAATATTATGCAGTGGTCAATGGTGTCGAAAGCTTTTTTGAGGTCAAGAAATACAACTCCATTAATTTAATAGCCCGTTATCAATATTGACGGACCAGCTATTCGTTGCCTCAGTTAGGGCAGTGAGCGTGCTATGAAATGATCTGAATCCAGACTGGCAAAACGTCAGAAGATTATTATCGTTAAAATATGAAAATAATTGTTCATAAACAATTTTTTCAAATATTTTTGCTACTGTCGGAATCACTGAAATCGGTCTATAATTATTCAAATCATTCTTTTTGCCCTTTTTAAAAATTGGCGTTACTTTGGCGATTTTAGAAACATATATGCATTCCTCGGTAGTATAGTGGTGAGTATCCCCGCCTGTCACGCGGGAGACCGGGGTTCGATTCCTCGCCGAGGAGTTGGCCGTGTTCCAACGAGATGTTTTTTATTATTTGTATAGGAAATTACACGGTTCGAGCCTTCCCGTAGAGATTAAAACGGCGAATAACCTCAAATGACAACCAGGTATCATTCCCTAAGAAACAGCAATTAAATACTGACCTGTGAAAAGTAAAGTCACCAATTCTGCCGCCAGTTTCATCCTTTCTGTATCCTTGCGCGAGCCTGCTTGTAAAACCTCAGACAACAAGCGTGCGGTCGACTTAAATTGAAGATCTGAGATACGTTTTAAGCTTGTTATATCTGATAGGATTTGTTTTTACAGATCAATTTTTTACGTGTGTGACGTGCCTTTCTAACGCTTTTAAGCCCCACCGGAATGTGATAATATGTGGAGAGCTCGAGGCTTTATATTAACAGTTTTTTCTTTCATTCTGTTGATGTTTTTTCTCTTGTAATTTGAACAAAATGTTAGGAGCTTTCATCACACTAGCAGTTAACAGCAAACCGAATGTGAACGGCCAAATCATAAATGATTCCAGATTAATCGAGCTAGAATCCGAGCACCTCCAGAGGTCGTCCGGCTTGTGCCAAGGTCCCTTAATACTCCCGTAGAAGTAAACCCAATGATACGAGAATGATCTGGTGTTAGTCTCAATTGAACGCTTAGCCTAGCTTGGTCATTGTAAATGACAGAGTCTCCTCTGGCTTCGCGCTATCCAGAAAGCCAGAAACTTTAAAACTATTTCGTTGTCCCAAGTAGTTAACATTGCTGCGTGACGTGTGTATAAGATCCGCAGTATAAAATCAAAACAATTCAAAATAAATGCTTTCCTCCTCCTCATTTTTGTCAAATATTGAGTTGAAGATGGATCGGAGTATATTTCGTCTTATACTTCTAAGAATTATCGGCTGAAAATGGTTATAATACTGTAGTGTAGTAAATTAGCATAATTTGCATACACGACCAAGTAACCGGAAATGAAATTACTAGTTCCAGTTTATTTCGCGCGGCCAAATTCAAAATGGTGGCAAAAATGGCTTGTTTTTCTGTGTTTTTAGTGATAGCTCAACTTTGTTTCGTGTTTAGAGCTAATGGACAGACAAATTGGAGCGTTAGCGACACTGGAAGTAGTTCAGGTGGGTATTGACTATCGTTTTGCGGGGAAATCGTGTATTGAAAGCATGAGAAACGTCTAAAAACACTTCTAAACGGAATGTAAACAAACTTGTACTTTAACTATTTTTAGCTTGCATATGCGACTTATTTGTGAATGGTTGCGATCCAAATTGTTGCTGTGATGTTGACTCGAATTCTGCATCTGATAAAGAATCGTTTACTGAATGCTTGGAAACCAAAAATGTTGTGTATGTAAGAGAAGCGTGTTTTATACTGGCTTGCAACAGTCAGATCGCGTCTTTCAATTTTTTTTCTGCTAATGCGAAGATAAGGACAGCTTTCTTTTTCCAATTTTTAGTTTTGATGATCGTATTTGTGTGTCAGATCAAACGATTTTCATTCAAAATGTCCCGTTTACAACAAAGAGTACAGGAGATGGACTGTTTTGTATCTACCATAATAACAGTACGTTGAAGGTTACGTTTTGTATAACCGTCAATAAAATAGGTTGCATTAACGGACAGTGCCATTACAAGGGACAAAACAGAGGATATGTTGTGATTATCTGTATGATTTTAATGATTTTTACACATTACCTTGAACAGATCAAGATCAGGCAGAATATTCAGACGTGGGTGTTGTAACAAGTAACGAGGATTTCACACGAGATATCAGCTCTAGAAATGTCTATTCATATGCAATGCAGAGTGATGGTATAGATGACCAGCCAGGGAGCAAAAATTACAAGGTAAGCTGTTGTGGTTTGTGTCTGAACTATCTGAAAAAGATACCTCACACATGGTGGTAAAATTCTATCTTGCAATAAACAACAGGTACATTTTTGCTTTCTTAGGTTGGTGATAGAATCATTCTGGTGTTTCCCAGAGAAGTGAGGGGATATTTAACACTTCCAACTACGCTTGGTTCTTCCAGTTGCAATGACTTCAATGCTGCGGGTAAGTTTAAAAATGCTGGTCAATCTATTGGTTCTTTTGTATGGTAATTTGTATGGTATTCTTTTTAGGATATTTTCAAAATGGTGTCACTGAATGCGTACGAAGTTTCTCTGATCTTTCCTCAGAATGTTCCAACTTACCTGCCCTTTCGGCTGCAAGTTATTACTCAAGTTTTCAAGTTGCCATGGTAATGAAGTAACTCCGTGGATTTTCATTTCAATGCCCTCCCCCCAACTCCCTCCCCCCCCCCAACCAAACATGATAACAACCTAACACTCCCCCTAACATGTTTGTATTCTTACTCCATTCTTCAGTCTCCACAGGCGCTTGTATTCTCCACAAACACAACGTCGAACTCGTCAATCACCTACACAAGCTACAACACATCTTTGCTGTTTACTCCCCAATTGGCTGTACCACTGTGGTGTCGAGATAACACTGGATTGTTGAGTCAATGTAGTTTTACAACGCCTCCAATGCCAGCGTATAACGCAACCACTAAAACATGCGAGAACGTTGTCACCGAGGTGAGATACGCGTCCGTTATCCATTAAGCCTTGATTTGCTGTACGTTACTTTTAGCCATTTACTAATCGGGATCACAAAGCATGTACATGGAGTATTTAGAGTGACAGATCCAATTTTTTTACGTTATTTCCAGGTGGCTTACACATTTACTTACTCCAACGAAAGTTCCAACCTAGAGCAACTCAAGGTCTCGTTCGTTCTTCAGAATATTCAGGACAATTTTTTGCAGAAATTTTCGATCAGTTTTCTCAAGGTAAAACATGGTGTGGTTATCTTGCTGGTCACTTCAAAAAACGGCAAAACCTTGCAGACCATTTTTTCTCATTTCAGGAAGGCAGTGAAGATGTGTTTACAAAATCAGGAAATCCAGGATATCTTTTTGATCAACCGATACTAGCTGGTCATCTACAAGATAAATCAAATAAGTATGATCTTGTGCCCAATATGAATTCGCGATAGGATATTCTATCATTTGATGTGAAATGAAGACATCATGGAGACAAATGGGACACAAATTTTCGTAATGAATCCTTCTGCTCTTTTTAAGGAAAGCCATCGATATCAGTAGCAACAACAAAGAATGGTTGACTATTCCAAAGGCGAAGTTTGATGGAACGTGTAGTACTGGCATCAACGATCGTTTGTCTGTTACGTTTAAAATGAACGCCAGATCTGGGTGTATTATAAGGTAATCTAGGAGATCTTCATGTCCGATGGTCCTAGGATTTCGGGAATTCCTTGAAATTCTTCTGGTATCTGAAAGTCTTTGCTTGATAGCTGCTGTGTGAGGGAGCGATGTTTAAGTTCATCTTTCTTTTAGGCTCAACCAATCAAGTGATTGTTCCCTGCTACAACACATAGTCTTTGATGCTTTATTCGGCACTAGTCGTCCAGACTATGTCGCGAGTTTTGGCAATTCAGATGTTCACAATGTCGCTGATTGGGTAGAAATCATTAACGACAAACCCACTGTAAACGTAAGTAAAACTTCAAACGTTCTTCTCACTACCTAAGTGATACAATACGATTCGATGTTTCGACCAAAGGCCCTTCGTCATGCGGTTCTTCATAGGTAGATTTGCGCAAAAACATTCTTGTAGTTTTGTTGTTGTCGTTTTTGTTGATAGCCTGGTCGTGCTGGACGTGGATGTTCAAGTAGGGTACTGGGAATGCACATCCAAATACTCTTTGCAAATGTTGGTTATTTTGCAAACCCACAATCCAAGGTAAGGCGAAGGACATTGTCATTTTCAGTGCCACATTACTGGAACTTTGGAATATTCCTTATCTTATTACACCACAAGTTGTAAGTCCGTGTTCTCTTCATAGATCGTTGGAGTGCGATACAAATACGAACAACCTCAGACAATTACGTATCAGGTAGGACAAGATACCAACATTCCCCCACCTGCAGAGATTGCTTTTAGGAGGGGCAACCTCGTTCCCAGTCTCTCTCCATGACAAGGGGGAAAGGGCGTGGAAACTAGGCTGTTTGAAGGGCTGGGCAGTGCTATTCATCGTAAAGAGATTTTGTTAAACTTGTTCATTCTTTGCTCCAAACCAGATTGCTGTCCATTCTAAGTTAAAGTTACGTTTTAAAAAGCTGGAGTAACGCATTGGTCTATCTTAAATTTCTTGATTTTTCAGTGTGTTGGTCAATTCTGTAACGGTCGCGGATCGACAAGCCAAAATATCGAAGTGAGCTCAACCGTATCATTCATCGATGTCTCACAGTCGCCAGTCACTGATCAAAAGTCTCTGCCAGAATTCCAGTCCAAAGCGCCTTCAGACTTTTTTCATCCGTTTCTCTGAAGACTTGAAAAACACGTGATAAAATAAGCTCGTCACGTGGACAAGTTTAATCGAATCACCACGTGCGCACGATGGTTTATCACGTGGTAAGTTTGCGTCATCTGTGATGATTCCGATTTGAATAGTTGCCGTGAGTGCTGATGATCACGTGGGGATCACGTGGGGATTACGTGGGGATCACGTGGTCCAATAACCACGCCACATGATGGTCTATCGTTAAAAACAACGTTATCCTATATGGCAAGGTGGATGCGCTGAAAATATTAATTGTCATTGGTCAGATTTTTGCTGCAACTAAACTCATTATTTGGCGAATTTGACAGTGTATATTTAGTGGTTTTTTTGCTTTGGAACTAAGCTATAATCTGCAACAATTCATGGGTGCATAGCGTCGCGTTTTGCGGCAAACCTGACTGCAAAAATGAGCGCATTTTGGACGTCCGTTTTGAAGAACAGCTTTATAACATAACTCCAGTTACATTTATAGTTCATAGGTCAAATACGTCAGCATAAATTATGCCGAATAATTACGCTTGTTAAATTTTATGTCGGCATATAATTTCGTCTTTGTAAAGTAACAAATTACAACGTTGGATTTGGAAAATATTATAAATAAACAACGTTTAAATGAATCGAACTGTGTCCGATCTTACAGTTTATTTAGTAATGATCTTTTCCTTTTCTGATAGTTGAAGGAGGCATCTGCCTTTTAGCAGTTACGTGGGGATTTTCAAAGCAAATGGCTGATTATTTACACGCTACATAACGTTCCATTTCGAAGTTCATGGCACTCTGTATTCCTTTATGTTTGTTGGTAGAATGCGCAGGGCTTTGTCAAACAGTGTTCTTAGTTACTGGCATGTGTCAAGCAATTGACATCAAGCTCGACACAACCTCAGTTCCGTTTGGTGCAGTTGTGACAGGAAGTCAAAGTTCAAGGGCCGTGGTCATGCAGAATCTGGGAGATATTGGTAATGCGAGTTTAGTTCGGATTTCTCGGTTGAACCAGTCAAGGGATATTCGTCTCCTGGGACTGAGGTCTCGTTCAATCTCAAGTTCTGCCCGCAAAATGTTAGCCAAGATATTCGCAGCGAGGTAAGATACACAGAGGATAAAGGCCTTGTTGCACGATGCAATTTTTCTTGCATCTTGCAGCACCACTCTACTGTTGAGAGATGTGAAATTGGCAAGTACGAGTCTTCATTAGATTTTCCTGATGAATTCATTAGAAACCAAGTGGTGAAAACAGTATATTACGAATGAGGAAAGATAAAATTCATATCTTCAAACTGCCGCGCAATGCTCTTTTAAACATGTAGTCGTAAACAATATAAAAACCCAGTTTATGCTCAATAAATTTTTTGATCGATAATGCTAAAATTTAAGCTGTAATCCTGTTTAGGTGAGCTGTATGATCGAAGGTAGCGATCCATTGAAGTTGGTGTTAACTGGAAGCTGTGTCGCACAAACTCCTGTGAAAGAGGTACGGTATTACAATACTATACTGCCTGACAGGGTACCATGAATTGGCGTGTTTTTCTTCCTGGGATTCAGTGTTTAGACAGCCATATTTTTCAACGTGTAGACGACACAAACTAGAACACGATATGCACATCAATTTACCCAATTTTGATCTGACTGCCTATAGCTCTTAGATTTTCATCTATTTTTTGTCTGGAAAACTAATGCGATGTTGGTCGAAAGACAAATGGCCAATTTCGACCTTGATACTAGCCAGTCCACGTGGCAACTTCCATACGCCCACAAAACACTAGCGTCCTAAGGCGCTGATAACGGTACCCTTTCTACATTTACATAAATGTCAGGAAATATCTAAAATTAGTTTGGAAATAAGTAATACTGTTTAGGAAATAGGAAATAATAAAGGGTTATTGACCGAGCGTGAGGTCTGTACTGTGAAATATCAGACCGAGGATTTTTAGTATGGACCGAGCGACGAAGGAGCGAGGTCAATGCAAAAAACTGAGGTCTGATATTTCACAGTACAGACCGAACAAGCGAGGTCAATAAACTGTTTATTATATGGCTGAATTGAGTATTTGAGTATGTGCTTTTCGCGCGAATTAAATCGGCTATCATCAGTTTCGAACTGGGTAACAGTATACGGTAGACATACACGCCCAATCTAAAACAATTTGGTTGTTTGAAATTTGTATCTTAAATTGGAAAATTAAAAAGCAAAAATATTTTGTGTATGCGAAGCGAAAATTCCCGCCAGATAAACGACATCCGGGACACCGGTCCAGATACGGAAAATACGGACCACGGTCCGGATATGGGTTTTTACGGACCGCTTGTCGACCAATCAGAATAGAGAATTTTGAAAAGCCATATAATAATACTGTTTAGGAATTAGGTCCATACAGAAAATCTTCGTCTATCAACCATAGTATTAAATTTTTTCATAACCCTGTTTTGCAGGTTATTCATTTTTCAACGCACGTTTGTACTCGTGAAACTCGTAGTATTGTACTGAACAACCGTAGCAACCTCCTTTGGCAGTTGCGTCCAAAAATCGACGGTGCATATTGGTCAGGCGCTGATATGATTACTGTTGACCCACAGCAAAGCAAAAATTACGACTTGACATATCGACCTCTGGTCATGACGCACGAGGGAAAGAGGCACACGGTAAGCGATGTTATGAGTGCAGGTAAACAAGAAGAAATCGCTTGTTTAACATCATCAACGTTTGTTATCTAATCAGTCTACTGTGCTATTGTGCAAAATTTGTAAAATAAGTTGGCAAGTAAATTTTCACCAATACAAATTCTTTTGAGAAAGCAAGAGTATAGGATAAATTTGGCACAAATTAGCATTCTTTTGCACAAGTGCACTAGTGACTATTTTCTCCAAAAATTTGGTTTCTAAATTTGCAGAACATTTGCGACCTTGCAAATTTGATGAAATCGCAAACTGGCACTGATTGCAAAATTAGTGCAAACCTATTTTTTTCCTACCGTGTAGGTTGAAAATATAAGGATTTTGTTGAGAAACATTTTGATCTAACGTGAAGAATGGTTTTTCTCTTTCTGGGAGATACGGTTTCTCTCAATCAGTCCCGTTTTCACTTGCAATTATTGCTGCCATTCCCGGGCGCAATTTCCTCTCTTTGATGGATGTGAATGAGTAGATTAATGATAAATGTGCTGACCGCGTGTTTCCTCAACCGAACATTTGTAACGAAGCTAGGTTGTATCAAAGGCGTTTAGCTTAAACGGTCCATAAGCAAAATTATCGCTCCTATTTATTTTGTAAACAGTTGCACCTAATTTTTCTGAACTTCATGCATAATTGTTATGTTTAGACAGAAAAGTTCAGTTTGCTTGTAATCTATAATTTTGTTTCATTGATATTTTTTACTTAAGCCCCGTTTACACGAGCAAATTTTATGTGGCAAATTTTATTTGGCACATAAAAGTTAATACGCCAGTTTTTCAAAAAATGTATTTGCCTCACAGAAATTGCCCAATTTTGCAGTTCTACACGGGTAAATAAAAATTGTCACAGAAAAATTGCTCGTGCAGAAAGGTATATCCACCGTTTGGCTACATGCCTTTTACCCTATAGGTAAACATCACAAAATATACAGAATTCTAGTTGGCTGCATGTGCACTTCACTTCTTATATTTTTGTTTGTCTCTTAAGTATTTGATTCATTTATACTACATCATACTATGATACTCTTCAACCTTTTCCTCTAATGCAATGTTTGCCATTGTTATTTCGTTCCACAGGGCTCCGTATTCTTCCCTCTACCCGATGGCAATGGTTTGTTGTACAACGTGACTGGAGTATCTGAAGCGCCTAAAGCCATCAGTAATATTGCTCGAGATATACCATGCAAAACTGACTACACTGAATTATTGACAGTTAGCAACTGGTTGAAGAAACCTCAAAGGTACTAACACTTCAAACGTACTATTGAATAATACCACCATTTGTCGTGAATTAATAAATTGCCCTCCAATCTTTTGCATCCACGCGCGGCCTAGGTCATATCCTACATGAATATTCCTTATTCCTCTTTACCTGAATGCGGCATAATTGTAGCTTACCCATCAACCCAACTATAATTCCTTAAATTTCTTTATCTAATTTTGTTGAAATGTTTCACCAATGTGGGCACGGTCACCATGACAACATACGCGTGAATTACCGTGGGCCCGTACCACTCACTCCTGTCAACTTTCCCTATGAGGGGAGAGGAGCTTGTGACGGGCGGGGGCACCACGACAAAACGTACGAAAAGTGTGAATTTCATTTTTTTCACATAAGAACCAGGTATTGGGTCACATCGAGAAAGCTCCCCACTCAGAGTCGAACCTGAGACCTTAGAAGTGAAATGCGAATTATATTTATTAGGCTTTGTCAAATGAACATAAGACAATAGCTAAACACACATACAAAAACAATATATACATTGACATGAGTAGGCATACGAAACAGCTTTCGCCAATTACAGCGTCCCTTTACATAGTACGAGAGACACAACCAAATGACATTTTAGATTGCAGGGTGAAGCAGAATACCTCATTAATTCTACGTATACACTAGTTTCTGTAACAGTTCACTGAATTGATACCATGGAGTATATTTCTATTTGATTCGTTTTTCAAGTATTCAGGTTATTATAAACAAGCTAATAGATGATTCTGCTTCCTCCGCAACAATCTAACTACAGCATGAAAATGGACAGGAAATGTCAACGAATGCGCTTACTCAGTCTATTGTCAGATGATTTTATAATATGTCAACGACAAAATTCTACCACTTAGTGAATTATCACCACACCCTGACCGTGCCACACCATCATTACCATAACATTACTGTCATTGCCACCATGTTGTGATTATACCATTGTCATTTTTGTCACCATCAAAAACGTTACCAAGACGGATAGGGAATTCGAACCCATCGAAATAATAGATATAGAATGCGTACTTGGTCGCAAATCATGTCTCCACTCTTCATGTTTGCCCTTACATAGCCGCATTTAGCCAGGAGCGAGTGGTCGAGTGCTTTTGTTGAAAGAAAACCAATGCCAAATGTATGTACCGCAATAGACTGCAAAAGCAGAAACGAAATTGGCCCTTACCTAAATTAAAAAATTGTCCTTACTTGACTCCAAAAGCTTGGCTTACTTATGGATCCAAAATTTCGACTGAGGACAGATATGAGCACGGATTCTATGTCTGTATTTCATTGCTCGAACCACTGGGCCTGAGACTAAACGTCTGATGCTTTAACAACTAAACTAACCGACCTCGCATACGTGCAACTTTCCTTCTAGATTCCGTGTAATTATTGAGATGATAAAGCCGGACAAACTGGATGGTGCGACCACCTTGAAAGCTCTTCAATACATCGATGTTCCAGGACAGATGAAAAAGGATCACAAAATTGACTTCTATGCCCACAAGGAAGGACTGTTTAGCGCTAAGGTACGCTACATACGCTACATCTGATAAAATGTTAACTGCACAAATTGCGTTCTCATGACAACTTTCATTTTTGTAAAATATGGATGAACAAGAATGATGAATTTTTTCTGACTAAATTTTCTGGCTGTGTGTACGAAACACTATTTTTTCAGTCGGACTCATTTTTTCCATCAGTACACATGTCAGAACTTTTGTGCACCGCAAGCCGTGATTTTATTTTCCTTTCCCGTGTACTTGATGCTGCTCCTGGATAGACGGTCAGCACAAGTGTGAGAATATAGGGCTATAGGATGAATTATTTTTGACTTAGTGAACAATCACTATAGACTAACTTTGATCTAAACAATAAAAACGAGATTTTCGGAAAGGACCTTACAAAAGTGGTAAAATCCTAAAAGTTGGTTGTCGTAAGTTGTTGTTGTAATGTGTGGAAGATATAGCGTTACAAATTAGGTTTGTAAATGTTGTGTTACGTGCGGAAATTGCTTTCACATTTTTGTTCTTTTCGAGAATTTCGTGGGGTTTTTTCGTCTAGTTTCTAATGGGAATGGTCCATTGGGTCTTGCGACACTTGAACGGATCACATTGAAAAAAAACGATCGACAAAATCACAGGGTTTTAGGAAGTACAGTTCTAGGGTGATAGTCATCAGCTTTTTTAAATTTTTTCTTCTCGTTTCAGGTGATCTTTAAAAATGAACAGACGTCGGAGTATTTATTCTATTACATCACATTCAAGGCTACTCCGCCAGGAATTATTTCAACTATTGACATGACAACACCAGTGCGACAGGCCGCATCTCACGTCATCAACTTGTACAATCCATTAACTGCGCAAGTCAGCTTTTCAACTGCTTCAACGTTATCGGATATTCTGCTTCCACCAAATTTCACTGTGCCACCACAGTCAGAGGTAAGAAATTATTTTAGGTCGGTTTTTCTTCGAAGCAAGGTCAGAATATAGTTCTCTGGACAAATACTTTTACAATTTGTTTATAGTGTGCGAGATACTAATGCGCTGGGGGCCGGTTGTTCGTAGCTTAAACAGCGGAAAAGTCAGATTTAAATTTCACTCCCATTCGTCTTGGATTTATAAAAAACTGAACATAAAATTTAAACACTTAATAATTATGTAGTTTTGTACATAAGTGTTCTTTTCAGATTGAAAAATTTTGTTTTGATTATACAATGTTTTGCTCGATCTTTTGGACTCATCCACCATTTAGGCCAAACGGGCTACGAACAACCGACCCGAGTCATCAAATGTGAATGAACTGTAACATGTATTGATGCATTACTGCATCATTGATAGGGATACGTTAATGTTGTTGCCGAACATAGATCAACATAAAACATCCAGTTTTCTTCAACCAAAGGAAACTGCATTAACTCGTTTCACGTTGCAATAGTCGCATTCCAGACCTGTTCAGAACAATAAAAAATACTTCAATTAAATAAAAAAAAACCTGAATTAGAACAAGTCAGATATTATTGGCACTGATGAAGATCCGGGCTTACGGATCGAAAGCTTTGCGATAATAAAATTACGTTGTGTAAACTACAAACTTTGTAAACATCATAAGAAATACTTCGTTCCTTCGAAAATCGCTGTCAAATTGGAGAGGGGGTTTGGTGACCTCCTCAAACGTTGGTGTTTATATTTTTTTCACCATTCTATCCAAATGGAACCAAAATCTTTGCCTATAAATACGTTTGATATTTGTTGAGCTACGGTACTTAGCAAACAACACACTTTAATGGCACCATTACCCCTTGGTCCCAAACGGAGTCGATGATACAGTTAATGAGTAAAACTTCCAACAAGTGTTTTAGTGTTTTACTATGAAATATTTTCCGTATTTCACAACATTTCCCAACCAAACTTTGCAGTGTCACTAATTTTAAGATGATCTTTCGAGCTGTGATGATATAGATGATTTGTTCTTCTTGCCCAGAGCAGAATTTAGCCTGTTATGCAAATTGTCCATTACGTATATATCCCGGTTTGTTTCGAAACTTTCAAGGAAGAAACAATAGCATTTAAAACGAGCACTTTCACTTTGTAATTACAGTACCGTCCTCGAGTAACATACACTCGACTCGCGCGTAGCGAGTACGCGCGAGTCACTCGCGAGTCGTTCGAGTACTCGCTTGACTCGCTACTCGCGAGTACGCGCAAATCATGTTGGCAAGACATACTCGCTTCACTCGCAAAATAGATCACTCGCTGCACTCGCGAGTATTTCGAGTCTGCGAGTATAAAACCGGTAAAAACACTAAAAACACTAAAAATCAATTTGTTAATGTAAAGTTTATGTAGACATAGGTATCAGGTATAAACACACATATAATAATCACAAATAACCAACGCAGGCGGTTTTCCCGTATTCGGTCAAAACTCCGTTGTCCTTCTATTCGATCAAAAGTCCCTTCCATAAATTTTGTCAGGTTTGATGGCCGTTTAGAACAGAATGAATCACCGAATTTTGTATAGGTTATTTTTGTCCAAAGGCAGAGCTCTCAACGCGACAATGAAGATGTCTCAATTGAGCGCAAATAACAAATGCCGCAAATTCATCGCTCATTGTATCACTGTTATGTCATGTCACATGTCAACTAGGAATTTTTAGGATACCCAGAAAATAAAAAGGATCTGGGATTTTATCAATACGACCTCAACTTGTCAGCAACGCCGGCCGGACCTGAAAATCAAGTACATTTCCGTACTTATCTTGGCTCAACACAAAGTCAAACATGTCGTTTCAACAACTTCTGTAAATCGCGCGTTGAATACGCGTGTAAGGTAAGACATTCATGCCTACATATTTTTTTGAAATTTTTAAGAATAAGAAAAAAGTGCTTAGGTAATTAGATAAGCAAATGGTTGTTTGCGATGCAGATTGGAATTTCAGTTGACGGGCAAGTATGTCTAAAATCGATCCATTAGAAACATTTCAAGACTTAGAGACATTTCGAGTTGATAGTTATTCAAGGGAATCTTTCGCAATCATAGACCATGCAAAGACGACACTCATTTGAAACATTTGCTTCAAATCTTCAAGAAATTACATATTTAAAGCAACAGCCAAATATCGCTTCTGCGTCTTTGCCAGACAGTAATTTGCTAGATTGAAATAGATTCGAATGTATTCGGTGTCCTGTGATCGAAGGTCATCACCTCATGTTGATAATGTAAGACAAAACAAACTCCGAATTTATCATCTTGTAAACTCAACATTAAGACACAAAATTCCAGTGATATTTTTCTAGTCATTGTCAAAGCAACTGAATATTTACAGACTGTGCTTCAATGTTTTAATATGGGTACAAGGAACTGAAGTGACGTAAGATGTAAGATTACATGAAATGCGAAACTATTTACAAAAGCGACAATTAAGCGTAAGAAAAATTACAGATGTAGCATTAGTTCTTACTGCTTGTTTTTTAAACTTGATATAAAGCGTTAACAGAAGGAACAAAAGATTGGAGTTTCTGTGCTGAAGTGACTGTAGTATTTTTGTATTGTAGTTTGTAAAAGACCTGCCATGTTTGAGGTCACTAACGTTGTCATAGAGATTATGTGTTTGGTGTGTGAATGAAATTGCACTGCCACCCATATTCATATTTAGCCTATTAACTTAGGGCCATTTATACAAAACGAATTAAGTCGCGATTTACATAAAACGCGAACTTGACGTATAAACAGTAAAAAATGCGTGTCGTGGGTCTTAAATAAGACTCGCTTGGAATTGGACGGGGCTGACATGTTCATATAAATGACAGAGCTCGCGTCTTATGAAAATGCCAAAATGGCGAGCCTTTGTTGTCTTGCACGAATGGCCGTTCAGTTCTACTTTAGGCTCACAAAAATGTCTTCATTAGTAATATCGGAATATCGATGTGGATAAAGTCTGTATTATAATTTTCGTTCAATTCTTCGCAAGATTATTTGTGTGTTTTGACCAACAGACAAGTACGCTTTCGCCAAATTAATTCAAGCAAGTCCTTCGCAATCATAGACTGAAGTTTTGTTTACCAATGACCATAATGGTGGTCATCACCTCGTATTATATTCAACTGATATGATTACTTGATGTATTCAGAATAATATTCATATCACGGTCATACAGTACATAATTTTACATTCGGAATGCTTCGAACATTTCAGAAGTCGAATGACAATATGGCATTCGGGAAGAGAGATATTGTTGTTAGCGCAATATATGTAAATTAGATTAGGGTGGTCATCAACTCGTATTATTGAAAATTTTGGTGTTTTAACATGCATTTCGGTGACATTTGATTTAGTATGTTTTGAAAATGTTTGTTTTTGATCGCAATTTGCCCCTAATTTTTGCCCTGGAAATTCGGAAATTTTTGTCCAGTAAATTTTGGTCACGGATAGGTGATGACCTTTATTCACACGACACCGATATTCTGTTTCATACTAGCAACTTCCTGTATGGTAAAGACGCGGAAGCGATATTTGGCTGTTGCTTTAGGCACGTAATTTTGTTGAAGATTTCGAGCAAATACTAATACAGACAACTAGAAAAACGACTGGTATTTGCATCAAGACAAACATTCAATCTATGTAGCGAGGTTACGCCACAAAGGGATTAAGAGAGCAACACAAACACAGCACCTTTATTTATTATTGCGAAACACGAACAGCGTGAAGTATGGCATCTTACATACAAGGACTCGACATGGAAAGGTTTGCGTCCACAATCGATCGAAATTTCATTTGTTCAATCTGCTCTAACGTTCTTGAAGACCCTGTTCTGTGTCAGAATAATCACCACTGTTTTTGTCGTGGTTGTATTACGAAATACCTTGAGAATTCTCAAAGATGCCCTACGTGTTCAGACGAACTGACCGTAGAGACTTTGGCCGAACCACAAAGAATGGTAAAACGGATGTTAAATGAACTAAATATTCGTTGCGTTTACGTCGACAGAGGTTGTCAAGAGATCCTACAATTGCAACATCTAGTCAGCCACGAAGCTACATGCGGATTTACACCAGCCATGTGTACAAACCAAGGCTGTGGTGCGACTTTAAACCAGCGTGATCTTTTCCACCATGAAAGCGAGGTTTGTGAATTTCGAAAACTGAAGATCCACTCGTGCGGAGAAATGACAAAAACTTTAACAGACATGGAGAAAAAAATCGCGAATCTCGAAAAGAATATGGCGACAAACGTGGTTACCATGGAAACCAACATGAAGAATATAGAGAAGAGTATGGCGACAAATGCTGCGAGTACGGAGAGAAACGCTGCAGATATGGAAGAAAAACTCGAAGCAGTCAACAATGAAGTAACAGGATTCCAGGAAGCTCTGATTGACGCCTTTATTGAAATGAAGGATGTTCTTATCAAGATGGACGATAAGATAAAAGAAAACACAAGGAAAGTGAGAAATACACCAAGTGGTGACAGGGAGAATATAATTGTTGCTGGAGGATGGGGGACTGGCTCTGTAGAGATGTTTGACTGGCATCAAAGAACATGGTCGCCATTACAATCCCTGCCAAATAAGCGTCATGGAGCAACTTCATTTCTTTACCACAATCACGTGACAATTGCTGGAGGTTATTGCTCTCACCCTGTCGATGGTATGATTAGAATGAATGTCCATCCAAACCCTGATCTTGCAATGCACTGGAGTAACTGTCCTGTTGAACTGCCTCCTGAGTTGGCAGGCCACAGCAGTGTGCTGTATAATGATCACTTGATCGTTTCTGGTGGTCAAAATGGAAATGCAGCATCTGACTGTATTCACGAAGTCCAGCTTGTGCCGCCATGTACGGTTAAGACCTTATCAAGAATGCCAGAACCAAGACAGTTTCACTCAATGGAAAGATTTGACGACAGTTTGTTGATCGTTGGTGGCACAACAACTTCCAGATACCAAGACAGCGTCAGCAGTGTCGTACTGTACGATATAAAGAAGAACGAATGTAAACAGTTGTCACCACTGCCGTATGAAGTGAGTGAAATGGCAACTGTGAGATGGGGAAACAACATCGTTGTCATCGGTGGCCGTGACAAACAAGGAAACGCATTAGATACAGTTATCATGTACAATGTCAAGTCAGGACAACACCACGTGCTGCCCGAGATGAGATGTAAGAGGTTCGGCTGTACTGCAGTTGTTATTGGAAACAGCATTGCCGTGCTGGGAGGCTGGGGCCTAAAGTCAGTTGAATTCTTTAACTTTGAAAGTTATACATGGCAAACACTTCCAGAAATGTCTCGAGAAAGATGCTACCATACTGCTGTTGTTGTGTGAGCAGTGTAAGAGTTTTGAAACGTGCTCTGTAATATAGAAAAATATTGTGAACAACTTCGATTATAAATGAACTTCATTAGTGACGTAATTTGTTCAGTAATATCAGTTTCGAAATCCGAGGCCGAATATTTCGTGACCTGTTGCGTGCACCCTGCCGTATATTTTTCTTTAATGTGATGCATGTAATGTGTTTTTTATTGCAATGAAATATGTAATACTAATAATATTTCAAATATTTCGTTAAATGTTGGTAGTTAGTGGACTAACTTAATTGCATAATAGACAAAATTAAAAAACTGAAATATTACATCCTAAAGTTAGTAAAATTTCAAAATTTGGTTATGAAATCTCTAATTTCCTTAAAACGTCAAGCTACGTCGCATTCGTTTCGACTTTTCTCCGTCCTTTGTTCGAGACATTCGCCGCAGTGTTTCTTCATAAGTGTTTATTCTTTTCAGGTTGACAATCCTGATTTTCATGTTGAACGTTCTATCACAGCAGCTTCCGCCTCCAGTGGTGGTACGGAAGTGAATGTCGAGGTGATATATGAGCCGAGTTGCCTTGGCAACGCACGTGCTACATTACTGTTGTCGTCGCCAATGGGCGGAGATTACACCTTCCCTTTGTACGGTTATGCTGCCCCACCTAAACCACAAGGACCGTACACGATCAAGTCCGGCGCGAGTACCTCCATACCGTTCAAGAACGTGTTCCCCCAGGCGACACAGTTTACGTTCCATGTTGATAATCCCGTGTTCAGTGTTAAACCAATGGAGACGATACGGGCGAAGAAAGTACACAATGTTGTCGTGACTTTTGATGGTAACCAAGGCAACGCGAAGACAACTCGCATGGGACGTTTGGTTATTGCTGCTGCTTCTAGTGCCAGCCTCACTCATAATATTGAGTGGGTTTATTATCTTAAGGGCGTTACCCCATAAACTATGTTCTCATTCAAATATTCAAGCTTGACTTTTACATGTTTAGACTTGTATATTTCTGTATATTTTTTAATCGTAGGCTACGTTAACTTTAAATGCATGTGATCATAAGTATATAATAACACTTTTCTCAGGAGTGCTTAAACGTAATATGTACGTCATCTAAAATAATAAATGTTTTACCATTTGTATATTTTGTATTTTAGTTTCGTTTTGGAGGCTGAAAAAAAAGTCAATATTCCAAGTAGTTATTGTCATCGCTGATCGCCCAGCCACGGAGCGAGGGTACTAATTCCGCACGGCTGTTTACACCCAGGTAAAGAAAGGCACTAGCAAAGTCTAAAGTTATATTGCGACCACTTTTGGGTAATCGTTCAAGGTCAAGGTTGGTAGGTGGTCACCCCTGATCTCCGATCTATCGCCGGACTATCATTAAGAGCGAACACTGAAGGCTTTCGATAAGGCGAAAACAAAGACCAAGATTATTTAAGTTTCCCGCAAAAGCTGATGACCGGACGCATGAGCAAAGCGTAGACGCTGTTTCATGTAATCACTTGTATTATATAACATTTTTTATTTTTGAGTAGAGGACAAAAGTTAGTTAGTACTTTCTTTCACATTTCTCAGTTTTCTCTTTTTATTCGCGAGATATACGGCTTCGAAGAACGATTTTCGTGAATGTCGAGCATCAGCAAGAGCCTGGGACGAACATGTCGTGACGTTGCTTAAGGACTAAATTGCGACGCGCATTGTACATTTTGTATATATTTACCAGCATGTAATTCATTAATTAATGAACATGTAATTTCGATCTCCTGTTCCTTAAGCGACGTCACAAGCCCCGTCGCCCCAGACCCTTTTCCGGTTTTTTCTAAAGCGCGACAATTTTTCGCTAAAAGCCGATTTTTCAAGTTTTAGGGCCGTACGTATATCTCGCGAATAAAAAACGGAACCGATAAATTTAAAAGAAAGCACTAACGGACTTTTCGTCCTCTACTCAAAAATTGAAAATAAATTGTGATATAAGCAATTTAATTTTCAAGCAACAAGCACAGATGTCCGAAATGCGTACAGCTTTTACAGTATACATAGTGTTGCCTTCCTTACGTCACGAGACAGGGAGGATTCTAATGAGCTGTTCACACAGAGTTAACATCGTCTAACATTCTAGAGCCAACAATGTTCGATGATGTCTGGTTATATTTTCATGTTACGCACACTAAATCATTTCTATCACATCCTAGCCCCCCCGCCCCCTCCCCCAACCCATAACATTAACTTCAAGGCTAATGCCCAGCCCTATCCCCATCTAACCCTAACTGTTTTCGTGACTGCGTAACATGAAAATATAACCTCATTTGTTCAATCGACAACAACGAAAATGCATAACGCGAATAATTACGCCATACGGATGATGACGTAAATCTCCGTGGAAACGATGCCAATCGTCACCAGTATTCGCAAGTGTTGCACAATGTAGGCAAGTTTAAACTGTATATCATCCGACATAATTCAACAGTATGTTCCAAGAGGCCAACGTGTTGCATCCGGTGATGTTGCATGTTGGACCAACATTATATTGCTTTACTTCAGACAGGCTTTATGAACAAAAAAAATATGTTTGGAAATAACCAAAATTGGTGTCCTATTGATGGAAGAGCAAATTCCAACTGATCAAACGGATATTATGCAATCTTTCCAACTGCATTCGTGCATTACTTTGTCTGTATTTGTTCACCCACCCACCTCCTACAAGGTCAGCCATATGCAACTAAATTATAGAAGTCCTGCTGGACAATTTGACGTCGGGAGGGGGCGGCTTGCCATGCACTTACGAATTTTACTCCGGAAATTTATTCGAGTTTTGTTCGCTGAAAGTTTTTTTATGCCATCTAGATCCTGAGGATAATAGGTAATGACTATTAATGTAAAGTGTAGCTTTGAAGTTTCCGCAACCACGGTACAGATGTGATAAATCGTATGATAATCGAATAATAGTTATTCTTTAAATTGTTCGTGACTTTTGAGGAATGTGTAACCAAGTGAATTTGTAAAGTTAAAAATTATTTTTGTTTTTCACTCTATGTTTTCTTCTCTCATTTTTTCACGCCATTCTTAATTTCATATTTATTGCAGGGGCGTCGGCAGGTTGTCGAAGCTGAAGAGGGGGGGGGGACACGGTAAGCAACGAAGGCGTGATATTTCAAGGGGGATTTGGGGACATATCCTCGGGAAAATTTTTCATTTCTGGGGTCTACAAAACGCATTTTTAGCGTTCTGGAGTTTGAGGCTTGGCAAAGTTAAATAAATCAATTTTTAGGCAGGTATATTGACAAACTAAAAGCCACATTTCGGAGATTTGTTCCAACAACAAAGGTCGTACAGGCTGCTAAACATCATTATTAATAACCGGAGACATATTCCAGTATTTCACAAAGGCAACTTTCTGTTCTTAGCTATTAGAAATTACTCTTTTGTGACTTGTTAATCTCAGGTTATTGCACCTGTAAAATTTAAATTAGCTTCTGTCGACGAACAGCAACACAAAGACGTATTGTTATATAAATTCTTCTGCCGTTCATCAGTTCCATTCAATCCAATTGGCACATTTAACAACAAATTATAATGTACAACCCTGTAAAATTCAAGCCTAAGGCCTGTTCCAAACGTCGAACTTTAGTCGCGTCGATTGCAATTCAGACAAAGGATAATGAGTTGATAATGAGGCAAGTTATCTCATTATCTATTGTTTTAATTGCATTCGACGCGACTAAAGTTCGACGTATGAAACAGGCCTAAGCTTCCGCGTTACGATACAGTATAAGTATGCCACACAAACACAAGTGTTTTCGTACCAACACACAAAGCAGTATGGCCACTGCGCCACATCCTGCGCCTGTGAAGCAAATGGAGGCACTCTTAGAGTGTTCCATGTGCATAGAGACGATAACTGAACCGCGGACCTTGTCGTGCTTTCATTCGTTCTGTAAACATTGCTTGGCAAAATTTGTAGCGACTCAGAAAGAGGCTGTCGAGAAAGGAGCCAAAGTACCAGAAGTCTTCGAATGTCCAGTATGCCGAACCAAGTTTCGCGTCAAAGAAGGAGAAAGCATCGAGAAGATGCCATCAAACCATTTCATCAACAGCCTGTTGGACTGAATTGCTTGCTTTGACGCAGCAAGACCAAAGCATTAAATGCCAGTCGTGTAAAGCTCGAAATCCTGCTGTCAGTAGATGTGTGTCGTGTGAAGCTTACCTTTGTGAAACACATAACAACTGGCCTGCCTTTCAAGACCATGTCGTGTTGACGTTGGAAGAATTAGCAAAGCCGGTCAATCGAGCGAAAGCAAGAGGCAAACCTCGTTGCGATAAACACAAGAAAGTTCTCATGACAAGTTTTACTGTGAAACGTGCAAAGTCCTCGTTTGCCGGTACTGTGTCGACGTTAATCATCCACGACCAGAGCATCTGTGGTCCCTTTGACAGACGTTGTTGGTCAACACAAGGAAGCATTGAAGGCGTCGTGCGCCATCTTCGAACAGCAAGCGAACGATGCTGCTCAAAGCAGTCTGAAGATAGAAGATGCCATGGCGACCCTGAGAAATAACGCAACGAAAACCAAAGACGCCATCATGCAGCAACAACAGGAAATCCTGAGCGCGTTTACCAAGAAACTCGAGCAGGAAACGGCGGTCTTGCCTGACCAAGTCGACATAAAATACAAACAAGCCAACGAGCCGCTGGTGCAACAACAAGCTGACGTGAAAGATTGTTTGAAAAAAGCAAAAAGCTCGCTTGAATTTGCCAACAATATCATCTCCAGTGGTAGCGATGAGGATATCCTTTCCTTCAAACAAGTTATATTTATGAAAAGGTTGGACGTATTGAAAATGAACGACCGCAATTCGTGGAACCAGTTCACGATGGTACGATAAGATATGAAGCGAAACTGAGCAAAGACGTCCTGGAGAATAACTTGGGAAAAGTCGGTATGTTACTGTACAGTACGGGGTATCTCCAACTTGGTGTATACTAGGCGTATAAACGTACTTAATTGAGACTAAACTTACGACGCCCTCCAAGGGCGTCGCCAGGGAGGGGACTGGGGGGACGTGCCCCCCAGTTATTTTTATAACCAACCTTGAGATTGTTCTAAATCTCATGGGGGGGGGGGGGACGATCATTCAAAATGCTAGTTGATATCAGTATAGAAACGTTGGAGATAATCGATAAGCTAAGAACAGAAAGTTGCCTTTGTGAAATACTGGAATGTGTGCCCAATTAATCATCAACAATTGGTGTTTAGCAGCCTGTACAACCTTTGTTGTTGGAACAAATCTCCGATACGTGGCTTTTAGATTATCAATATACCTGCCTTGAAATGCTGAAAATAGCGTTTAGAAAACCTAGGAATAAAAAAAATTTTCGATGGTATGCCCCAAAATCCCCACATATATCATCATAGAATTAGAAATATCACCTCTTGGATACCAACCGTGTCCCCCCCCCCAGCTTCAACAACCTGTCAATAAACGATTCTGTTAACTGTTAATAATCCTGGTAAAATCAGTAAACTCGTCGACCAAAGCTCTTTGCTACCATTCGTGATAGATTGCTCTTTTCCCTTGCTGTGCAACGTTGTTCACGTGAAAACGCGTGACGAAAACCTCACAGAATTTTGCCGCACACAGGGGAATTTTGTTTACGACAATTGGCACGAGTGACTGTCAGCTCAGTAGACTCTCGTGTGCGGCAGACAGAAGATGCAACGGAGCTTTTTGTGAGGGGATAACTTCACCGATCTCGTTTTTTACCTTATTTTATAGTTTCTCCACTTTCAAAGCAACGAGAGTTACAGAGAGCAAAGCAAGAAGAGTCGCTGAAAGATAAGCAAGAAGGGCAGTTGATGATGGCGAAGCTAAAAGTAGACTCACTGAAAACAAAGCGAGGAGAAGATTTAATCAAAGCAAGATAGCAAGGTAAGTGCCAATCACACGTAACCATTGGGAAAATTTTCTTTCACTAATTACTAATATGCTTATTTAGTTTCTGGGATTCCTTCATGAAAATAACACTTAGTTGTAAAATTATCAAATATAGTGGACCGAGAAAGCCGCGAACAAGGTTTTACGATCCATGCAAGAACTCTCCCGTTCAAAATATATATAGCAACATTAAAAAATAAATTATTGACGCGAACAGAGTAAAACGGTGGGGATCAAAACCGGACCATAGTTGTCGTATTATTGAGTGCCGACTGGATGCATTAGCAGATTCTTTTGTCGCATTCAAAACTCGATTCTATTTCAACCAATAAAAATCATTTTTGATTCATGCATTCAAGGGCGTCGCGAAGGGGGGGGGGGATGTGACGCCCCCCTGAAAAACTCCCATTGTCGGCAATTCAATCATTTGCCGGCAAAACTGTTTTACTGTTCCGGCTTTTAGGTAGGTCTGATGAATAAATCACAAGCTTCATCGCATAAATCAATAGAATATATCGTACTGTCATGGTTAACACGTTAAACACTCAATTCAGAGCACACTACTAATTTACGAATAGGTTTGCAAGTAGTCCAGTCGAAATATATATATATATATATAGCTATACAGGTGGCAAAACGATTGATAGCAACTCATATTATGTTCCAATTTCACAAGTGAATCACATGTTATCGGCTCTATAAATATGAAAATTACTTTCTAAAGTAGCTAATATCATTTCTTTGTCAGGACGCTTAGCTCATAAGACGCAATTATAATTCCTATATAAGCTTCACACAATTTGCTTTCGCGTAAATCTTTGGATAACCTAATCTCCTCCCAGAAACTTTGCACTGTTATTCTTGTCATACAATTGTACAAATCCTGCTAAGTGAAAAAAAAAATCTCAATTTCAGTATCTCCACTCATATGCCAATTGCGAAGCCATGCCTTCGTGAATGTTCTTTATTGACAAAGGAATGCTAATAATTTGGTATGCTTTTAATAAGCAGGAATTTTTATTTTGGGGAAAAATATTCGAAATCTTTGCAATTTCCAAACATTACGGATTCGTTCTCAATTGTCGTCGACAATTCATTGCTAAAACTGAACCAATGATTGATGGAATTCAGTTTTTCGTTCATGTACAATCTCGTAGATGTGATATGGCACGAAATTTCTAACTAAAATATGCATATACGTTCGTCAATAATTGAATAATACAGAGAATATTATTATTATATAATTAACTAATTTGAAAAGAAATCCGTCGGGCAGAACATGGATACATGAATATACACCCCCCCTCGAATAACGCCTCTGCGTAGATAAAATATATCACGAAATTTATGGAATAAAAAATATACATGTGCGTCATTAATTGAATAACAAAAAGCATAATATTATCATTAAATGATTGACGCAATTCCCTTTTCGTGCCTATAAAATCTCGTACATAAAATATATCAGAAAAATTATGAAGTTAAAAATTTACACGTGCGTCAGTTATCGAATAACAAAAAATATAATTATTTTAATTTGGATATAATTATTTTTATCTACATGTAAAATGGCTCCCAAAATATTTAATGGACTATTTCCAATGATGTTTAAACGAACAACGAGGAGAAACAGTCAGGAGTGAAAAACTACACTAGAAAGCAAAAAAGGTTAACGACAAAATCAGGTATTTTCAACCATCCTTTCATACTTGCTTCAATATATTATTTGTACTTTGTAAGCTTTTTACAATTATAAGGTGTAAATTTACCTTAGACTACGTTTACACAACGCCGGAGCAAAAATTGACGGCGTGATTTGATTGCGTTCACACTGTTCCGTTTGAATTCCGATTTGTTATTTTCACTCGGTATAAAACAAGAAATTGCTACCCCGAAATAATGTTATTAAATCAAACATTATTAATACAAAGCGTAGCGAGCGAGGTTCCGGTCGTTTACACTGATCCGGAGCGAATTTGTTCAAAAACGTCACTTTTGCCGTGGTGGTACGACCACACTTTCTAAACGTGGTCGGGCGAAAACGGAGTGGCACATGGCGTTGTGTAAACACTGTCGCCGTACAACGCCATGTGCCACTCCGTTTTCGCCCGACCACGTTTAGAAAGTGTGGTCGTACCACCACGGCAAAAGTGACGATTTTGAACAAATTCGCTCCGGATCAGTGTAAACGACCGGAACCTCGCCTTTTGTTGTTCTTTTCCACCGTTCTATTCCAGACCGATCCGGAGTTGTGTAAACGTAGTCTTAGAACACTAAAGTTCAGTGTTCACACTGTACAAATGTTTACAGCAAACGTTTTACAGATAAATGTGGAAGTTAAATGATAATTTGTACCGGTATGTGAATGAAGTCATCGTTTGTTCGTATGCATGAGCAAGGCAAAAAGTTGCATGAGAAAATGCGAGCGCTCTTCAAAGGTGTGATGTTTGTTGGTCTGTGAACACGATAACTCAAGAAACAGCAGACATTTTGACGCAAAATGTTCAATTTGGTTGGAAATAAAGGAGCTGAAATTTATGAAATTAAACTTCGTTGCTTTATTTTTCTCAAATATGAATGTGTAATTAACATTTTGAATGTTCAATCATGGGTAAAATGGAGCGTGCTGGGAATTTGCTACTGGCAATATAGATATATGATCTCGCTTCTCACTTCACATGAGAAATCAGGGACTTTTGTAAGGAAATTTCATCACTACACAAAAGCACAAAAACGAAAATAAAGGATAAATTAAAACTGTTAACACGCTTAGCGATTCAGCCCGCCATTTCCATTTTACCGCCTCATGCTTTCCGAAACGGTGTACTTGTTGCACATATATATATTGCTTGTAGTGACCTTAAACCAAAGCTTCACGAAAACGACAAACAAAATCCTAAAAATTTTCCCGCGGCTGCGCGTGCATGATTGGCTAACAGCCATGTTGATGTGAGATTATGTAAACACAGCTATTTCCCGCTGCTTCTCGCTATTCCGTTGTTCCGCTTTTCTCATCCACACATTTCTCGTTCTCCTAAACTTGCACTCGTGTTTACATAACTCGATGTAAACATGGAAAATGTTTTCTATTCCTTAATAAGCACACTTATTGAACTGGCCTCGCGAGAATGCCTCGCAACATAGACAGGCATGTTTGGAGGTCAAATATGCGTGTTTTTGGAGGTTGGACCATTGAACTCTAAATAACCTGGAATGATAAGTTGGCCGCCATGCCACAACAGTGAACTCTAATAGATCTGGAACACTAACCCAGGTACACCCAGTGCTTTTGTGAATATTTTTTTAAAAAACAACATTTTTATATCCATAAAGTTCTCTATTTACAACTCAGAACAATTTCCAAAATTCATATAAACATCGACAATAATAATTATTTTTTTATAATATCTACTATAAATAAATCTATAAAAGTTGTGCGTATAAAAGAATAAATGGCGCGCGTTCATTGCAAAACCCATATCAAGAGATTTTAATGCGTATTCTGTGTCTTGGTTGCCGATTCCTCCCACCGCAGATGGCTCTTACGAAACAGTTTTTCTGCGAGACTTTGTGACGAAAGCGGACAAAGACCTGAAGAAATTTCCTACGCCAGTAGTCCAGGTAAATAATTTCCAACATTATTACATCTGGCAGTTCCCAATCGTCAACCCGGTGAGCTCAAAAGTCGACAAGTTCCTCAACGTTCTTACTAACATGGGCAACGCACGTATAAATGGAATGACAGTTAAGGTACAAATATATATTTTTTTCTCGTTTATCTGTAATCACGATTAATGCAAAGTACAAGACAAGTGCAATTTTTTGATAATAATTTTAGCGCTGCTTTAGTTGTTTTAAACTCATCGCAAATAGCAAATGAATTTTCGAAGATTAATTACTCGCCTGTGAGTGAGAAAACAGTTCTCGAAAGTTTTCAGCCAATCGATTAAATTTTGAATTTGAATAATTTTCCGGATTTTCCTTTGTACTGTGTTAAAATCAAAATACTCAGTGGCCCGGTGGAGTGAAAAGTCGGGGTTGAAAACATCGAACTTTATTCAGGGACGCCGGAACTGGGGGTGGGGGCAGCGGGGGGGGGGGCAAAAGTGCCTCCATTCATTTTAAGTACTACTCTAATGTAATTAAGCTAATCATATTTCTAAATGGCTAAACTTAGCTGCGCGCTGCCTCAGACAATCTATAGTCAATCATAACCCAAGCGTTGCCTGTCCTTGATCAGTTCATGCCTATCTTTGCAGTACGGAATGACACAATGAAAATTCATTAATGAGTGTAATACTACAAACATTGTTAGTTGTACTGTAGGTGCAGTCAGCATAAAATAGTAGCAAAGTGCCCTCTGGCGGGGGTTGCCTCCCCCCCCCCCTTGCCCTTTTGTCGTTCCGGCGTCCCTGAGTTTTATTGTATCATTTAGACAGCGTGTAGAAAATTTGCTGCCTGCTGATGTTGTTATCCGCTACCTAAACTACATGGCCACATTTTGAAATGATTAATATTAATAGTTCAATTTCAATTGTCTTAAGGTGTATGTAACAATCCCAGATCCGAGTACAAATCCTTCACCGACCTCCGTTCCGCCTCCTAGAGTGTACAGCGAACTGCCAAATGAGATTCCAATTGTATGATATATTGTCGCAGTAGTTGAAAAAGATGTATTAAGCAATATGTAGAGTGTAGACAAATAAATTAAAAAACTGGCAAGCCATTTTCGAAATTGATTCCTTATTTAATAACACTGATGCACGTTTTCGCTAATTACGGTTAGCGCTAACCTCAGGGTCTCTAGGTGGCCGGAAATGAACATTTCGGATGAATTAATCCAGGACTTTTTTTGGTGGGGGGAGGGGGCCGGCCCCACATTTCTCGTTCTCCCAAACTTGCACTCGTGTTTACATAACTCGATGTAAACATGGAAAATGTTTTCTATTCCTTAAATAAAATATACAAGGTGTATTTATATATACAGTAC